TAGACGATATCCTAGTGTTCAGCAAGACCCTCGAGGAACATGAGGGCCATCTACGACAGATTCTAAGTAAGCTCAGAGAGTCTAACTTTAAGATTAACCCGAAGAAGTGCGAATGGGCCAAGACACAGGTCCTTTACCTAGGCCATGTACTAGACGGCGATGGCATTCGGCCTGAGGACAGCAAGATAGCATCCATCAGAGATTGGCCAACTCCTAAGACACAAAGTTGCGTTCTTTCTTAGGGTTGGCTAACTACTACAGGAAGTTCGTGAGGAACTTCTCTACGATCGCTGCTCCCCTTCGTAGACTATTGAAGAAAGAAGCTATCTGGAAGTGGGATCAGGATTGTACGTCAGCCTTCAAGAAATTGAAGAAGGCTTTGATAGAGTACCCTGTCCTCAAAGTTGTCGATCCATCATTGCCATTTGTTGTTACTACAGACGCGAGTCAGTATGGCATAGGTGTCGTTCTACAGCAAGATGATGGCAACGGGTATAGGCCCGTAGAGTTCATGTCAGCCAGGCTGCCTTCAGAGAAAGTCGCAGCATCGACATACGAGAGGGAACTCTACGCTCTCAGGCAGGCTCTAGAGCACTGGAAACACTACCTGCTTGGGAGGCACTTCAAGGTTTATTCAGACCACGAGACTCTTAGATGGCTAAAGACACAGGCCAAGATGACGCCCAAGTTGACCAGTTGGGCTGCTGAGATAGACCAATATGACTTTGAGTTAAAACCCGTTAAAGGCAAGTACAACGTGGTAGCTGATGCGCTAAGCAGGAGATCTGATTATTTCGGTGCGATGGTACACTATCTAGACATAGGGGCCGATCTGCAGCAGAAAGTAAGAGATGCCTATGCACAGGACCCAATCTACAGTGAGCTGCTCAAAACAGTAAGGGAAGCCCCAGATAGTGAGCCACACTACCGGACCACGAATGGGCTACTGTTTGAAAAGACCAATGTCGCTGACAGGCTATGCGTCCCCAATAGTGAAGAGATCCGTAGTTTGATCTTAGGGGAATGCCACGATACAGAAGGGCACTTTGGATGGCAGAAGACTTTAGCTAACCTGATGATGTCCTATACGTGGCCAGGCATGAAAGCAGACTGCATAGAATATGTGCGCAGTTGCAAAGTGTGTCAGCGTAATAAAGCTACGATTAAAGACCCCCTGGGTCTTCTTAGACCCTTGCCTATTCACTCCGGACCCGGAGATTCAGTATCCATTGACTTCATGGATACTGGGGTCAGAAGCAGACATGGAAAAACTCAAGTCATGGTCATAGTAGACAAATTTAGTAAGTATGCAGTATTTGTTCCCTTGCCTTCAGAGGCCCGTACAGAGTTAGTTATAAGGAAGTTCTTTGATTTCTGGATACGCGAGAATGGTATGCCATTGTCCATAGTAAGTGATAGGGACACCCGGTTTACCAGCCAGCACTTGCAAGATCTTATGAAAGTGTATGGGTCTAAGTTGTTGATGTCGTCAGGACGAAACCCCGAGACTAACGGTCAGGCAGAACAGATGAATAAGATTTTGCAACAGCTACTCAGAATGTACATTAGACCAGATCAGCTAGATTGGGACGAGTTGCTCCCCAAAGTAGCAAGCGCCTACAACAACAACGTTCACTTAGCTACTTGTCGGACTCCTAATGAGCTACACAAGTCTTTTAAACCTAGGCGACCACTAGAAGGACTAAACCGGGATCAGATCCAAAGACTTCCACCCGGTACTCGAGAGTTCGCACTCCATCATGAGCAAGAGGTTGCTAAGGTCACAGACAACCTGAGGAAGGCCCAACACCGCATGATAGAGCAGGCTAACAAGCACCGCCGACCTTCCTTTTTCAGGTAGGTGACCTAGTCTGGGCCAAGTCAAAGGAGTTCGCACCGGAGGAAAACATCTCGCTGAAGCTCTCACCTGCATATTGAGGACCGTGGCCTGTCCTAGAAGTCAAAGGAGGAGAGGACGGCCCGTCATATACGATAGAGATCCCAGCACATCTCCTCACGTACCCAGTCTTCCACGCCTCTAAGTTGTTACCTTGCACCACGTCTGACAGGTTCCCTTCCAGAAGGTCGATGATTCCTCCAGACATGGATGGCGCGTATGATATAGAGGGCATTGTGGACGAGGACGTGTTTAGGACAGGAGGCCGAGGTCGTCCCCAGAAACAGTACAAAGTTAGGTTCGCATACCAGAAACCCGAGGACGACGGGTGGTTTACAAGAACAGAGCTTTTAAAAACCGCTCCCGACATAGTACACGCCTACGAGAGGGAAAGAAAAGGTAAAGGTCCTGCCTTGAGTTAGAGGGTTCTCGGAGGACCTCGAATTTAGGACGGCGGGAGTGAAACGGTTTCACCCAGTTGACCTGGTACTGCAGTCACAGAGATTCGATCCCTAGACCTGTGCCCTAACCCTGTACATTGACCCTGTGTGCTGAGTGAGATTCGATCCCTAGACCTACCCTGTACCTGTACATAGACCCCGTGACCTGAGTAGGATTCGATCCCCAAACCTGTCCTACGGCTTAGGATAGTCTGTAGTTTGGTCTGTAGGACTTGATCCCGAGGTCTGTAGATTAGCTGCTAGGTCTGTTACCAATAGGCCTAGAAAGCCTGTTCTAGAAGTCTCTACTGAGTCTGTCGAAAGTCTGTAGAGTCTGTAGGTTCTAGAAGTCCGTAGGGTTCTGTAGGGGGGTCCAGCCAGCATGTACCTGGGTAAGGGATGCACGTGGGGAAGGTTCTGGAGCATGCAGAGAGTTCCACACGTTTTGGCCCAGAAGGCCAAACGTCTGGAAGCTTCCCTGGGCCACACGTTTTGGCCCAGGCCCACAGGTCTGGAGGCAGGGTCCGGGTACCTCCGAAGAAGTATAAATAAACAGGCAGCGTCCARCCATTCATTCATTCGCCTGTGAGCCATGCRGAAGAGCTGCCTTGGTGTCTTGTGCATGGAGGTCTGCAGGTGCCTGGAGACGAAGTGGGCAGTGAAGAAGACAGCGGCCATAGCTGGCCAGTGGGGTAGATGTCGGTGGCCATAGCCAGCAGGAGGAAGACGACGACGGCCATAGCCGCCCAGCTGTTGGTGAAGACAAGTGTTCAGAGTGTGTGAGGCTGTGCTGAGTGGGGACATTCAGGGTGATCCTTGTACGTGCACGCATGAGACAGTGAGGGAGAGAGTGAGGCTGGTGGTAGAGACCGTGTTCGGCGGCCATAGCCGCAAGTTGTGCAGCTGTTAAGATTGAGTTTCAGACAAGTTCATTGTTGTTTTTTGAGTTGAAAGAGTTCAGTTTTGCCATCGGTTCTCAAGTGTGCATGTTGTGAGCAAGTCCAGAGTTGAGTCTGATTGCATCTTTCATGCTGTGCTCCACCTGCTTTGTGCTATTGGGTTTCTAATTTTGCAATTGTCCTTTGGTTTTGTTGTCCTCCAGCCACGCTCTAAATTTCAGTATAATTATGCAGTTACCATCTGCATGTCATATTGCGTCGCTGGAATCGCGTACATCCTTAGTATTCTGTTCAAACCCCAGGCTGCGCAGTTGGTAAGTACGTTTTTTTTGCAGTTGGTAAGTACGTTTTTTTTTGCAGTTGATAAGTGAGAACTTGCGACTACATTGTAAATGGGGAGGGGGGGGGGGAAAGCAGGAAAACACAGCTTCTGGGTCTTTCGGCAATTGAGTCCTCATTTCTGTCTGTTGGTCTCTGCACCTTAATGGTTTTGTATATGGTCTATATATTTTCCAGTGTAGCCCAATTCTTTTCCGGGGCGCGACTCGCCCAGTTTGTTGACCTCTAGTAGGAGGAGGTAAAGATCAGTTGCTTTTTTTTTAAGTTTTTTTTCACGGAGGGAATAGACCGTAACTTCATTGCATCCCTCTGGATTTGAACTCTCGAACTGTTTGATAAGTGGTAAGGGGTGTACCATACAGCCACAGGCAGGTAAACTTAAAAGATTACGTTGATGCATTCACTATACCTGAATTAGGATGATGCACATTGCACAGCCGTGATGAGTTAAAAATACGCGGCACGAGCGGTCGCGGTCTGGAGTTGACTACGCTCTATGATGTGGTATATGAAATTATAAATCCATTTTGTTTTGTGCTAGTCTCAATGCACCTTTCATGGCACGTTGCCTCCCCTTTTCACCCCAGGGTTGTTCTCAGATTACCTACCCTTCAACTCAGGGTTAATCTTTGCATGAGTCAGGATGATAAAGAAATTACAGCAATGAGAACAGCAGTAAACCAGACTGCTACATCTCAAAGAAGACCAGACATAATTGAGCCAAATTGAAAGCAGAAATCCATGCAAAATGCAGACCAAATAGGAACGAGCAAGACACCGAAGTCTCTTGATAAAGAAAGCCCTCCTAATGCCACCAACCATCAAAGCCATGACAATGTACTACTGCTACTGGCGTACTGAACGCCCACTCTACTTCCTAGCCCCTACTCATCTAGCCAATCTGCATGCTAGCAATCAGTCAACGTGTCCATCGGTCAATGCCGGTGAAGACTCTGATCAAACAGCCTGCCTTCGTCAACACCTGGTACATGCCTGGTTCTCACCCGCTCACTTCTCTGTTCCTTCCTCAGGAATTACCGCACTTCCACCATCCAGTGCGGCGCTCGCTGCCCAGCTATGGCAGGCGCCACCTCCTCCTACCTCGCTGCCACCGCAGCAGCTTCCTCCACAGGCACAGAGCTCAGCTACTGCCCCAGCAGCGCTGCTGCATTGGCACAATGCTCGAGTGTGCGTGGCCGGGTGGCCTCGCTGATTTTGCGCTGGCTGGCAAGGCTGTGAAGGCTGCACCCAGTACCCTGCACCCTGGCCCATCTGAGGGTGAGCAGGGCCTTTTCCTGCGCAGTCGAGGGCCTAATTCCCTGCATTACTGGTTAGGTTACACTTAAACCACCAGTACATTTCCCGGCTAAGAAATCAAATAAGCGGCTTGTATAAAATTCAACTTTCGGGAAGTACCTGGGTGGCGTTTCGCTGGATATCCATCCGGCAGAACGGGCCTCACATGCGAGCTGGATGGATATCCAGTGAAACGGCGCCCTGGTAATTCGGGAGAGTCGCAGCTGCCTCTACGCCATGACTCTGAAAAAATAGCTTGGAAACGTACTGTTGGTTTAAACGACCACTTTGTTTCCCTCCGATCTTGTATCAATGCTCCGGTGAACCCGGCGCAAAAAATCGAGTTCAGGGCTATAGGATGCAAAAGTTGCATCCCCAGGCCAATGGTGAACCCGGTGCAACCATTTCGGCAGCTAAATTCACATGGGGAAAAAGAGGCGTGGACAGACTCGTGGTTTAAAAAAAGTGGCTGGAAATGTGGGAGGCCTGGGCTTGGCAACATAGTGGTGGGGAAAATGATGCGAAGGGTTGTACTACTTTCATGAACTTGGACAGCTGGGTCGAAGGCTTGAACGTTGTTGGTTGGAGGCTTCCTCGACGTGGCTGGCTCCAGTGAGTCTTTCTCTCTCTCTTCCTCACCCCCGACTCACGCCCCAGCATAAGGAGGTAGAGAGAAGATTCAGCACGGGTTTTGTTTCCAACTGCACCATTGGGAAGGCTAAGTATGGTCTTTTGTTCATGTGTCATCTGCGGAGGGGCATGCTACACACAGACACACACACACACACACACACGCACACGCACACGCACACACACACACACACACACACACACACACACACACACACACAC